TCCTAGAAACCACAAATTGCCAAAATTGACTAAAGAAGAAATAGAGAACCTCAACAGATCTGTTTGAAGTAAAGAGATTGAATCAGTAATTTAAAACCTCCCAACAAAGAAAAGCCCAGGATCTGATGGCTCCATGACAAATTCTATCAAATATTTTAAAAAGGATCAACAACAGCTCTTTTAACCTCTTACAAAAAATACAAGAGGAAACACTTTCTAACAAATTCTATGAGGCCAGTATTACCCTCACAACAAAGCCAGACAAAGATACCACAAGGAAACTACAGACCAACATCCCTTATGAATACAAAGGCAAAAATCCTCAACAAAACATTAACAAACCAAGTCCAATAGTATATAAAAAGGATTATATCTCATGACCAAGTAGAATTTATTCTAGGAATTCAAGGGTGTTTCAACATAAGAAAACCAATCAATGTCATACACCATGTTAATAGAATGAAGGGAATAATAACACAGCTATCTCAATGCAGAAAAGGAATCTGACAAACTTTCAAGATAAAGGCACTCAAGCAAGAACAGAAGGCATCTTTACAAAAATAAAGAGTATTTACAAGAAACCCTCAGCCAAATTCATACTCAATGGTGAAAGATTGAACGTTTTCTTCCTAAGATCAGAAACAAGATAAGGCTGTCCATATCCATCACTGCTATTCAATATTATATTAGAAGTCCTAGCCAGAGCAATTAAGCAAGAAAAATAAATGAAAGGTATCAAAATTGGAAAGGAAGAAGTAAAACTATTTCTAATTTCAGATAACATGATTCCATATATAGAAAATTTCAAATAATCAACAACAAAAACTACTAGAGCCAATAAACAAATTCAGCAATGTTATAGGATACAAGACCAACACATAAAGATGGGTTGTTTCTATAAATATCAGTGAGTATTCCAAAAAGAAAATGAATAAAACAATACCATTTGCAGTAGCATCTAAAAGAATAAAATGCCTAGGAATAAATTTAGCCAATATGTTGAAAGATTTGTAAGTTGAAAGCTATAATACGGATTCTCACAGCCAGTCGGCCTGGTGGTCAAATCCCTCTAGTATTAACTACAACAATCAAGGCTTAACTAGAACAAGACTGCGCACAAAGACCACAAGGGGGTGCACCAAGAAAGCATAAAAAATGCGGAGACAAAAAAACATGACAGAAATGGAGGATATAGAGCTAAAAATCGCAATTTTGAGGGCTTGCAAAAATGTGCTAGAAGCTGCCAATAAACTTGAGGAGAGACTCACGAAAACTAATGAGACCCTCGATGCTATGATAAAGAACCAACTAGAAATTAAGCATACACGGACTGAAATAAAGAATATTATACAGACACCCAATAGCAGACCAGAGGAGCGCAAGAATCAAGCCAAAGATTTGAAATGCGAAGAAGCAAAAAACACCCAACCGGAAAAGCAAAATGAAAAAAGAATCCGAAAATACGAAGATAGTGTAAGGAGCCTCTGGGACAGCTTCAAGCGTACAAACATCAGAATAATAGGGGTGCCAGAAGATGAGAGACAGCAAGATATTGAAAACCTATTTGAAGAAATAATGGCAGAAAACTTCCCCCACCTGGTGAAAGAAATGGACTTACAGGTCCAAGAAGCGCAGAGAACCCCAAACAAAAGGAATCCAAAGAGGACCACACCAAGACACATCATAATTAAAATGCCAAGAGCAAAAGACAAAGAGAGAATCTTAAAAGCAGCAAGAGAAAGAGACTCAATTACCTACAAGGGAATACCCATACGACTGTCAGCTGATTTCTCAACAGAAACTTTGCAGGCCAGAAGGGAATGGCAAGAAATATTCAAAGTGATGAATACCAAGAACCTACAACCAAGATTACTTTATCCAGCAAAGCTATCATTCAGAATTGAAGGTCAGATAAAGAGCTTCACAGATAAGGAAAAGCTAAAGGAGTTCATCACCACTAAACCAGTATTATACGAAATGCTGAAAGGTATCCTTTAAGAGGAGGAAGAAGAAAAAGGTAAAGATACAAATTGTGAACAACAAACATGCATCTATCAACAAGTGAATCTAAGAATCAAGTGAATAAATAATCTGATGTACAGAAAAAAAAAGAAAGCTATAATACATTGCTGAAAGAAATTAAAGAAGACATCCATGTTCATGAATTCAAAGACAATATTTAAAATTAAATACTTCCTAAAAAAAAAATTAAATACTTCCTAAAGTACAACCCTATCACACACACACACACACAAATTACAAAAATTCCAATGGCCTTTCTTGCGGAAATGGAAAAACCAATCCTCAAATTCATGTGGAATTGTAAGTGATCCTGAATATCCTAAACAGTATTGAAAAAAAACAAAGTTGGAGAATTTATACTTCCCAATATAAAAAAAAATTTACAAAGATACAGTAATCAAACAGTATTGTACTAGCATAAGGATAGACATAGAGACCAATAAAATATAATTGAAAGTCCAAAAATAAACCCAAAAGTCTAGAAACAACTGATTTACAATGAAGGCACTAAGACCATTCAATGGGGGAGTGGGGAATAGTCTCTTCAACAAATGGTGCTTGGAAACTGGATAATCACATGCAAAAGAATGAATTTGAATCACCACCTTACTCCATATACAAAAATTAACTCAAAATGGATCACTGGCCTAACTATAAGAGCTAAAACTTATAAAACTATTAGAAGGACACAGAAGTAAATATGTATGACCCCAGATTTGTCAATAGATTCTTAGATTTGACACCAAAAACACAGGCAACAAAGAAAAAGAGAATACTAGACTTCATAAAAATTTTTAAAGTTTGTTTTAAATGAATGAAGATTGCATGAAGAATCATAACATAAAGACAAACTCAATATTTTTAAATGAGCAAAGGACTTAAATAGACATTTCTCCAAAGGAAAAAATGGAAATGGCCATATATAAATAACCAGTAAGCACATGAAAAGATGTTCAATATCATTAGTCATGAAGGAAATGTAAATAGAAACTACAGTGAGATACCACTTCACACCCATAAGAATGGCCATAGTTTTTTTGTTTTTTGTTTTTAGAAAAAGATAGAAATGTGAAGAAATAAGAACCCCAATACATTACAGGTAAGAAAGTAAAATGATGCAGCTTCTGTGGAAAATAGTTTAGTGATTTCTCATAAAAGTTACACATAGCATTATCACATGAGCCAGCAAATTCAACTCCCAGGTATATATACAAGAGAAACAAAAACATATATCCACACAAACACTTGTACATGAATGTTCATAGCAACATTATGCACAATAGCCAAAAGGTGGAAACAACCCAAATGTCTATCAACAGATAAAGGGACATACCAATTGTGGTATAACCATATAGTGGAATATTATCTATATACTAGAGGCCCAGTGCACAAAATTCATGCACTTGGGGGGGTGTCCCTCACCCCAGCCTGCACCCTCTCCAATCTGGGACCCCTCGGGGGATGTCTGACTGCCAGGGGATGTCCGACTCCCGGTCACCCCCAACTGCCCTCCCCTGCTGGCCCAGTCGCCCCCAACTGCCTTCCCCTGCCAGCCTAGTCCCCCCCAACTGCCCTCCCCTGAAGGCCTGGTCTCTCCCAACTGCCCTCCCCTGCTGGCCTGGTTGCCCCTAACTACCCTCCCCTGCTGGCCTGATTGCCCACAACTGCCCTCCCCTGCCGGCCATCTTGTGGCTGTGGGCACCGCCATCTTTGAGGGCATGGCAGTCAATTAGCATATTTTCTCCTTATTGGCTGTGGGTGCTGCCATCTTTGAGGTGGGGCAGTCAATTAGCATATTCCCTCCTTATTGGCTGTGGGCACTGCCATCTTTGAGGGCGGGGAAGTCAATTAGCATATTCCCTCTTTATGAGATAGGATATAAAAGCCTAATATGCAAATTGACCAGATGGCAAAATGACCGGTTGCTATGATGCACACTGACCACCAGGGGGCAGATGCTCAATGCAGGAGCTGCCCCCAGCCTGCAGGCCTCGTTTGTCCAATCAGGGCCTGCTGGCCAACCTCTCAGTCCCTCCCCCTGGCCAGAAGACTCCAATCGCCCAATGGGGAACGGGCAACCGGGGGTGGGTGGCAGCAGATGCAGGCGGTGCCAGGCCAAGGGAGGTGCAAGTGGGGCCCTGGTCACCCCACACACAGAGGGTGACTGGCGGCAGGGGCCAGGTCCAGCTGCTGGCAGCCGAGGAAGATCAGCCCTGATCGTAGGCCAGGCCTAGGTTCCCTGCCTGTGCATGAATTTCGTGCACAGGGCCTCTAGTCTATAAAAAGGAATGAAGGCCCTGGTTGGTTTGGCTCAGTGGATAGAGCCTTTGGACTGAAGTGTCCAGGGTTCTATTCCAGTCTGGTGCCCATGCCCAGGTTATGGGCTCAATCCCCACTAGGGGGCATGCAGGAGGCAGCCAATCAATGATTCTCTCTCATCATTGATGTTTCTCTCTCTCTCTCCCTCTTCGTTCCTCTCTAAAATCAATAAAAATATATATATTTTTAAAAAAGGAATGAAGTACTGATACATGCTACAACCCGCATGAGCCTCAAAAACATTATGCTCAGCGAAAGAAGTTAGACACCGGAGTTCACATGTTGTATGCTTCCTTTTTATGAAATATCCAGAATAGGCAAATCCATAGAGACAGAATACAGATTGGTGGTTGCCAGGGGCTGGGGGCAGGGAAGTGAGAAATGATTGCTTAATGGTTATTGGGTGTTTTTCTGGGACGAGTGTTTTGAAAATTTTTTAAAACTAGGGAGAGGTGGAGGTTGCACAACACTGTGAATGCACTAAATGCCCCTGCATTGTATGCTTTAAAACAGCTGTTTATTATGTGAATTCTACCTCAATTAAATATATGAACAAAGAAAAGAGTTATGAGTGAACCTTTACATTTGCCATGGCAAGTTATTGAGATCATTTTTGTTTATAGAGCAAACCATTTACACTCATTCTGGTTCTTGTTCAGCTTCCGCATCAGGGCCTTCAAGGACGTCAACCCCAGGTGGTATCTTGTTGAAGACACCACCTTTTGACCTGTCGCAGGAGCTCTGAAAAGCATCTGACCATCCCTGCCGCATCTTCTCTGTGCCTTCAGCCTCCAGGCGAGGACAGAGCTTGGATCTTGTGGCCACAGTCACCACCGGCTTTTTGAGGTCTGCCACGTCCTGTCTGACAAATACCATCCCATTTACCTGTGGAGGAAATCATTGCCCCGTGGTTCTTGTTCAACGAGAAGGACATCAATTCCTTGACTGGAACCCACGGATTCTGCCACGTCTGTCTGACAAATACCATCCCATTTACCTGTGGAGGAAATCATTGCCCCGTGGTTCTTGTTCAACGAGAAGGACATCAATTCCTTGACTGGAACCCACGGATGCTGCTTTAAACTGCCTGCTGTGGAGGCTGGATCTCTGGAGGGGCTCTGGCCAACAAAACCCCTTAGCAAGGGCTCATGAGACGGGCACCATTGGGTGTGGGGCAAACTGCTGCTGGTGCTGCTCTTCCCTGGCTCCAGCCGCCGGAGCAGACCTGTGAGGCCTCTGGGGCGGGAAAGAGATGCCTCTGAAGTTATGCATGCTCCACTGTACGCTATCTCCAGACCATCCACCCCTCGGCCCCACCCTGCCTTCACCCTCCTTCCCTTTCCCAGGTCTGGATTTCTTAAACCTGGACTTAAACTTCAAAGGGCAAGTACTGGGCCTCTCTCTCTTTTCCTCCCCTCCTTCTCCCATCCCTTGCGGGCCGTGAGATGCTTGTTGGTGAGGGAGACCTCCATCCCATCCCTCACCTCCCACAGGCCACCCTTCCGTGCATGGCCGTCCACCCTATGGTGGGGAGCAGAGCTCTGGGCAGGGCATGCATGCCCAGCCATCATTCTTGTTTCAGTAAGACCAAACAAAAGTAATAAGCAGTGATGACTAAGAATATTTGATCATGTCTGAATTTGCCAGAGTTTCCAGTTCCTGAGGCCAAGTGCGGCATCACACACACACAGACACCAGCCAAACAAACCCCGTGGGCGCTCTGGGTCTAGGTGGTTATTCCATGGCGGGCAGTTGCTCGGCCAGCCTTGGATGGTCAAACCACTTTCTATGTCCAACTCTGTCAACATCCCGGGACAATTCTCCAGCAAGTCTCCTGGAAATGTGCACGCACGGCCCCAGACTCCGTGAGAAGGGAGGTCCATGGTCATGCTCATCTCAGGCCCATTTTCCCGATGAAAGTATGTGCACCGACACTGTGCGGTAACCCACAAAAACTCTGCAGAGGTTCTTGGAAGAAAAACCACCGTGTTCCTCCAGATGTTTTGAAACATTAACTCTAAGCATGGCCCCGAGTAGTTAAAAGGGAATGGAAGTTTTGTTTATCCCTGTAACCGATGACTATTTATCCTGTTTTCCCAGCCAGGAGCACGCTCAGCACTATTCCAGGGGTCCTGGCCTTGACCACAGCTGAGACAGAGAATGAACCATCGGAGTAGGTGCTCGCATTCCTGACCTGCGAGGCTGCGGGTATCTGTTTTCAGGCGCTCGTTATAGGCACTGAGCCAGGGAAGAAAGTGTGTGCAGATAGAGTGGATGGTGAAGGGTGTTTCTCCATCTGCAGGGGAGGATGGGGATGAGCGGGTCTGGATGTAGGATGTGGAGCCCAGGCATAGCAGAGGCTCTGGACCCCACATTCCTCTCCCACATTCCTGTCCTTGCAGACAGGAGCCAGAGCTTCCCGGCAAACTGACGCAGTGAGGCCAGACGGACAGAGATGAGGACATGTCACCTGAGAGGTGAAGAAGGAAGCAGAAACAGAAGACGGGTGCGAGCCTCCAAGGGGGCCAGCTCCAAGGAGGCTGAGCTCACTGGGTGGTTTCTCTGCCTGCAGCAGGAGGGAGGCCACGGCAGGCCATTGGACCTCTCTCAGCCTCAGTTTCCTCATCTATAAAATGGAAACAAGAAGCCTACCCACTCCAGTGGTCGCAATCACGTGACACACAGAAAGTGTTTCTAATCTCATTATCTGTGTTATCTTGCCTGAAGTGAGAAGGCTGCGCCCTACAAGAGCCCTAATGCTCCCAGCTTCCCGAAATGGCCTGTTTCCCGTCTTGTTCTTGGGGCATTTCTCTCAGTGGCCTCTGATGCTGACCCTGAATGTCTTATTCCCTGGGTCCCAGTGGTCGCAATCACGTGGCACACAGAAAGTGTTTCTAATCTCATTATCTGTGTTATCTTGCCTGAAGTGAGAAGGCTGCGCCCTACAAGAGCCCTAATGCTCCCAGCTTCCCGAAATGGCCTGTTTCCCGTCTTGTTCTTGGGGCATTTCTCTCAGTGGCCTCTGATGCTGACCCTGAATGTCTTATTCCCTGGGTCACCATGCCCCACTGTTCGGTCCAGGTTGGGAAAGGGCAGGACGCCAAAGAGAAGTCTCTGTTTGGGCAGGGAGGCTGGGATTTAGGCCAAGGTCAGAGGAAGCTAAGCCCTGGCCGTCTTGGCCAGAATCGATGGGCTGCAACAGCCTGATGCAAGATAAAGTCATGCCACAACCCGGGAAAGAGGCTCAGGGAAGCGTCCCCCGGGCCCAAGGACTCCTCTCCTCCCTTCCAACCTCTGGCTCTCTGCCACCATTCTCTGCCCTTGGTCCCTTCCCTCCCCCCGGGACTCGTCCCACACAGATCCGGAGATTCCAGCACCCGCGTTAAGAAGACAGAAGGCAGCAGCGGTGCTCCAGGAGAACCCGTGCCCTCAGCCTGCAGCCGGTTCAGGAGAGATGGTATCCGTGCCCTCCGTCTGCAGCCTGCCCTTCCTCTCGGCTTCCTGCCATGCCCCGGGGCTAGCACAGCTCCCAACCCAGGGCAGGCCACCAGCTGACAGCACGCACCTGTCTCTCCAGAGTTTGAAGGATGACAGACACATTCACCTGTCCCCTCCCTGTCCCCTCCTCTGTCTGCACACAGCTTGTGCCCCTCCAATGGGAAGCTAGGCTCAGTCCTGCCTGACTGTCCGCCTGAGGCACAGTGGAGGTAGGCTCTTCCGGCCAGGCTGGGTGGCAGTGTCAGCCAAGTGGACTTACATGACAGATTATCAGCCAAAAGAATCCAGGGTCCCAGAGGGGGTATTCTAGTGGTCTCACGTCACATTCATCCATGCAGCTTCCCACCCAGCTGCCCTGTGCTGGGCTATGTGCCTCCTGCCCCACCATGGCATTGAGCTGCCCCCTCTCCCACAGGAAAGCTCCCAGGGAAAGCTGGAGTTACCTGGAAAGAACCTCATTCTACCTGGCCTGGGGCCCACATGATTGATACATCATTGATCAGTTTGCCTCTATCTACAGTAAATTTCTCTCTGCTCCTTGCCACCAAGGGAGCCTGAAAACAAGGTATAGACCAGGATCAGTGCACCTGAGCTGTGCCCCCAAGACAGAGGTGATGAAGGTAACCGCTGGGCCCCACCTAGGATGATTCTAAGGAGGTGATGCCCGGGGTGAGCCTTGAGGGCTGGCCAGTGGCCTGGAGGAGCTGATGCCCAGATGTGCTGACCAGGCCCAGGGGGAGATGGATAGGGAGAAGACTGTGAACACTCCTGATAGTCATCAAAGGGATGATTCAAAGCTGATGGGCACGTTGAGAGGTCACCCAGTAAGGGATGGGTAGAACAGAGAGGGAGACCAGTGAGGCAGCTTGTACATGTTTGTTGTGTATTTATTGGCCAAACATTTCTGTTGAAATGTACAGCATGCCCAGCTGATTGAGATTCAGGACACCTGAGCACTCTCAAGGCTCCCTCTCACCCCACCAAGGGGTGACCAGGACCCCAAGTTTGTCAGGAAAGACTCCTTTCACCTGTCCTGAGCCTTCATACAGGTGGAATGGAACTGTGCATGTTTAGAGTTGGGCTTCTTCCCTCAATGCTACATCTATGAGGTTCCTTTTGCAGTTACTGTGTCTTTGTTGGATAGAATTCCACTGTGTAGGTGTGACACAGTTTGTGCCTCCTTTCTCTGGTCTGTAGACTCTGCAACTGTCCAGGCAAGAGAGGGTGAGGATGAATTAAGGAAGGGGCAATGAGGATGAGGAGAAACACCACGCAGGAGGGAGACACCCTCCCTGCTGTGGGGAGTCCCTCAGCTGATGGGTATGAACATGCTTTTTGATTGCAGGGTGTTCCAAAATCAGGAATTGTGACTGTTCTATTATTATTTCTATGTCACTGCCCTGTAGTAATGTGGAAGTGACTATGGGTCACTAGCATAATTAGTGTCCACTCCTTGTCCTTAAATGTCATCTTCACCCATGCAGCGCTAAACTTGTGAGACTTTTCCTTACAGACCCCTTTCCTCTGCTAAAGAATTTTTCATCCTACTTACCTTTTCATTACAATTGGATGTCATTCGTTGTGGGTTTTTGTGTCAAATTTTCAGCTTTATTGAGTTATATTTGAAATACAATAAAATGCATGTATTTAAAATGTACAGTTTGGTAAGTTTTGATAAATAGGTACACAATAAAGTCATGATGATTATGAATGTGTCTGTCATCCCCAAAGCTTTCACCTGTCCCCTCCCTGCTCTTCTTGCCCAGGGAACGCTGACCTGTCACTATAGATTTATTTGCAAGTTCTGGAATTCTTTATAAATGGGATAATACAGTATGTATGCTTTTATTGCCTGACCTTGTTCACACTTTTCAGATTCATTCAATAATTCATTCTTTTAAAATGCCAAGTAGCATTCCATTATGTGGAGAATATATATATATACATATATCATCATTGGTTTGCCCATCACCTGCTGGTGGATATTTGGGCTGCTTCCAGATTTTGGATTGCTTCCAGATTTTATTCAAGGTTAATAGTAAAGCTGTTAAGAAGAATAAAGTTGGAGAAATTATGCTACCTTGCATCAAACTATACTACAAGGACAGAGTAATCAAAACAGCAGGATGCTGGCATATAGATAAATGGAACAGAGTAGAGAAGGCAGAGATAAGTCCATGCCTTTATGGAAAACTAATATTTGATAAAGGAGGCAAGAACATAAAATGGATAAAGACAGTCTATTCGATAAATGGTGCTGGGAAAATTGGACAGATACATGTAAAAAAGTGAAACTAGACCATTTTCTTACACTGCACACAAGAATAAACTCAAAATTAATTAATGACTTAAATGTTAGAATTGAAACCATAAATTCCTAGAAGAAAACATAGG